GAGTGAAGCAGGTGGCATCACTATACCTTATCTCAAACTATACTATAAAGCAATAGTAACAAAAACAGCATGGTATTTGCACCAAAACAGACTGTACCAATGGTACAGAATAGAGGACACAGAGATTAACCCACAAAACTAAAATTTTCTTATATTAGACTGAGTGCCAAAAACATGTACTGGAGAAAAGATAGCCTCTTCAACAAATGGTGTTGGGAAATCTGGAAATCCATATGCAACAAAATGAAATTAAACCCCTATCTCTCACCATGGACAAAACTCAACTCAAAATGGATCAAGGACCTAGGAATTAAACCAAAGACCCTGTGTCCAATAGAAGAAAGAGTAGGTGCTAATTTTCATCATGTGGGATTAGGTCCCAACTTCCTTAATAAGACTCGTGTGGTGCAAGAATTAAAATCAAGAATCAATAAATGGGATTCACTCAAACTAAAAAGTTTCTTCTCAGCAAAAGAAACAATCTGTGAGGTGAATAGAGAACCTACATCTTGGAAGCAAATCTTTACCCCTCACACATCAGAAAGAGCATTAATCTCTAGGGTATATAAAGAAAAAAGCTAAACACCAAAAAAACAAATAACCCAATCAATAAATGGGCCAAGGACCTCAACAAACATCTCAGAAAATGATATACAATCAATCAACAAATACATGAAAAAATGTTCATCCATCACTAGCAATTAGAGAAATGCAAATCAAAACCACTCTAAGATTTTATCTCACTCCAGTCAGAATGGCAGCTATTATGAAGACAAACAACAATAAGTGTTGGCAAGGATGTGGGGGAAAAGGTACATTCATACACTGCTGGTGGGACTGCAAGTTGGTACAGTCAATATGGATAGCAGTGTGGAGATTTCTTGGAAAATTGGGAATGGAACCACCATTTGACCCAGCTATCCGTCTCCTTGGTCTATACTCAAAGGACTTAAAAACATCATACTACAGGGACACAGCCACATCAATGTTTACAGCAGCACAATTCACAATAGCTAAACTGTGGAACCAACCTAGACACCCTTCAATAGATGAATGGATAAAAAAATGTGGCATATATACACAATGGAATATTACTCAGCAATAAAAGAGAATAAAATCATGGCCATTTGCAGGTAAATAGATGGAGTTAAAGAAGATAATGCTAAGTGAAGTTAGCCAATCCCAAAAAACCAAATGCCAAATGTTTTCTTTGATATAAGGAGGCTAATATCTCACAGTGAGATAAGGAGAGAGAGCATGGGAGGAATAGACGAACTCTAGATAGGGCAGAGGGGTTGAGGGAAGGGAGGGGGTATGTGGTTATTAATGATGGTGGAATGTGATGATCATTATTATCCAAAGTACAGGTATGGAGACATGAATTGGTGTGAATATACTATGTATACAACCAGAGATATGAAAAATTGTGCTCTATATGTGTAATAAGAATTGTAATGCATTCTGCTGTCATATATAAATAAAAAATTTTAAAGAAATTCAAATAACAATCACATAAATCAAGAAAGCACTAACACATATTTAAAGAAAAAAATTTTTAAATGTACAATAAGAACAAGGACCTGATTTCCCTCCCTTCAATCTATAATGCTATTCCCTATACTGCTCATATATACCATATCCATACGTATAGTACTAGGTACTGTAATGGATGCTAAGAAATTAAAATATAATTCTCTTAAAGAAGAGAAGAAAAAAGATACTGAAGACTTTTCAGAAGGACTATAAGTCATCATTACCATCCAAATAAAAAAAAAGGAATCAAGATAATTTTCAGTTTTGCTGTTGAAAAACTAACTAGACGGACCAGAAGTTCTAGACCAGACACCTAGTTCTGGTTGCCACAAGGGGAGACCACTTTTTAAAAGAACTAGAGATGTAACTCAATAGTACAGCACTTGCCAAGCCTGTGCAAGACCCTGGGTTCAATCCTCAGTACTATATCTAAAAATAAATAAAAACCTAAATATATGATGATGCCATTAGCCCACCAGGAATTAGAAATTCTTTCTGGGATGATTAAAATTTTGACTATTGAACCTCAAATGTGAAGACTGCTTGAGTTGCTCAGACAGGAACTACAAGTACTTGCTAACCACTTTGTGGCAGGATCCAAGATTCATGAACTTCAAGAAACATAGGAGTGAAAAGATGAAAAATACAAGTAAAATAGGGCTTAAAAGAGAAACTTAGGGGACTGAGGTTGTGGCTCAGAGGTAGAGTGCTCGCCTACCATGCGTGAAACACTGGGTTCAATCCTCAGCACAACATAAAAATAAAATATTGTGTCCATCTGTAACTAAAAAAAATAAATATTAAAAAAGAGAGAAATTTAGGCAAGAGACTGAAAGCATAAAGCACTAAGAACAGAACCAACTTGTATGCCATCCTCAGAAAAATGAATTTATCCAGGCAACGAAGAGCAATGGCTTAACTCGATCTGTATTTTAAAATGATCACTCCAAGTTCAGGAAGAAAATGGGTTGGAGGAGGCAAACTGAAAGGCACAGTGAACAAATAAGATACTATTATTAAAATCTGAACAAGAGTTGACAAATTCCAAAATGTACAAAGATTAGCGAAAAAGATATACAATAGGTAAAATATTTGACACCTAAAATCTCCAAACTATAGCACTAGGAGCTAGGGATATAGCTTAGTGATAGAGTGCACGTACAGCACGCACAAGACCCTGGATTTGATCCCCAGCACCACCAAAATAAAAATTAAAAAATAAAGTATACTACTAGTTGCTGAATTTTTAACAATAATAAAATAATAATAGCACCAGGTGATTAGTAAGCATACCTTACTGACCCAGCACTATTCTACACTCAGTCTTTCCTTTTCTACATCCTCCTCAAGTTACAAAATTAACAGCAAGATTTAGAAATACTTTTTAATTACATGCTTTGATCTGGGGAATATATTTTTTATTACTACTTAAATTTCAAGTTATACAGGCTTAATGAACAATATTTAACATAACCTAAATATAAAGACTACTCTAAAGAAAAGCAAAATTTAACAAATAAGATGAACGAGTTTAACAACACAATAAACTAATACACTGAAAGAGTATCAGCTGTTTCCCCTTGTGGCCATATGGCTGACTAGGAAGTGTAGCTCAGAATCTACTGTTAACTTGGGCCAGAATCAGTGTACTGCATATCACTAGCCCAGGAAGATCAAAATTCAAAGTACTGATTGGTCTTGTACCAATGTAAAGTTGAAAAATTGTTAATTCAAACCATAGTCAATTGGAGACAATCTGTATAGATCTTGTTCATTTTTTTATTTGTTCTAATTAGTTATACATTACATGATAGCATTTCAACTCATTGTACACAGATGGAACACAACTTCTCATTTCTCTGGCTGTACAGGATGCAGAGTCACACCATTCACACAATCATACATGTGCATATGGAAATAATATCCACCTCATTCCACTATCCTTCCCACCCCTACACCCCTGCCCCCATGACCTCTGCCTAATCCAAAGTTTCTCCATTCTTTCCTAGCCCCCCACCACCCCAAATCATGGATCAGCAACCATATACCAGATAAAACATTTGACCTTTGGTTTTTGATCTTATACACTTTTAATAGAGAACATATTCCATGGATCTCTTATATGATACGAGAGTGACAATGTATCCAGACTCCCCTAAGTCACCAGCTCTAAGTCACCATGTGAGATAATTCTAACAAGAGACATAAGCTGAGGGCTTCTAGGAAAGTTATTTTCTTTTCTTTTTTTTTTTTTGTACAGAATGCCTTTATTTTATTTGTTTATTTTTATGTGGTACTGAGGATTGAACCCAATGCCTCACGCATTCTAGGCAAGCTCTCTGCCACTGAGCTACAGCCCCAGCCCTCTAGGAAAGTTCTTTACCCCTTCTTCCTTTCTACTACCTGTCTGGAATATAAACATTAGGCTTGGTCTGGAGCAGACCTCTTATAGCCATGAGATAATAAAAACACAAAGACAAATATCATAGGCTAAGAGTAAAAAGTATAGAAAAGCATCCTGAAACACAGCTATTATCTTATTGCTGCTATACAATCCTACCTTCAAACTGTTTGTTAAAGGAGAATAACATGTCTCTCTTTGATTAATTAACTACAGGCTAAACAACATCCTAATTTACACACTCTACATCCTTTAAAGAATAAATAACATGCTATTTAACACTGCATATAGGACCTTTTATCATCAGCTCCGTTTACTTTTCAATCTCATTTCATACCAATCTCTCCTGCATATTTCCTACTCCAATAATTAATTCTACGTGTTATCAAAACAGCACAGCCCCGTGAGCTGTTTTTTTCTCTCTACCTTTAATTCTCTTTAATCTCTCACCCCTTCATTACTTCATCAAATTAACTCTTCTTCAGCATTCCAGACTTCCTAACTCCACTGGCTAAAGGAAGGTGCCCTGCCTTCTTGTTCTCACATAAACTCCACACATCAGTCAGTGCTGTGTGTGACTATGCTATTAGAACTTTTACTTATATATCTGTCCTTCCAACTAGACTACCAATCCTTCAAGAAAAAATGACCTTAGTTCTTTTGGTATTCCTAGATCCTGGCACAGTACCTGATCAAATAGGTACATAGTAAACACTTACTGAATGAATTATATTTACATAAAATAGGACTGTTTTTAATTTGTTTAAAATATTTACATAATATTAACATCAAAAACTCTTTTTCATCCATAAATTTTCCCTGTAATAGGAAAATTGCTTGAGTATTTTCTTCATTACAAGTTTCTCAAGGCTATAATATTTATACTTTACAAGCAAAGAACTATAAATCCAAAAGACAATCCTAAAAAATGTCTTCACCTTCCCCAATCTCACTTCCAATGGGATGTCAGGGGGAAAAATATCGTATCCAAAGAAATACATTATTGTACATTATTCATAAAATTCATGAAAATGAAGATAAGCAAAACAATAAAATTTCTTCATACCTGTCACATTGTTGCATTATGGAAATTTCTTTGATTATTTCCTGAAGGTCTGATTCAACAGGTACCTGTTTAATTGCGACAACTTGACCAGATTCCTTATGTATTGCTTTAAAAACACTTCCATAAGACCTAAAAAAACCAAGATGTTATTATTTTCCCAGCAAACACCATAGCTATTAAGTCTACTTGAGTCTTTGTAGTGTTTTCTAGCTTAAAAACACTATTTAAATGCTAAAAAACAAAAGTAAACAAGAAAAGTTAATGAATTAGATTTATTGCTTCAGTTATAAATTTACAGTCATCAAATTAATAAAATGAGTTGCAATTTTTTATGAATGAAAGAAAAAGACTTACGGTTTGTCAACTCAAATGCAGCATTAAGAAGATATAAATGGAAATTAAAAAGAATGAAAGGTATATTAAAATATTCAAAGTCTCAAGTTAGGACAAAGGGTAATGTTAAGCAAAATAATCCCCAGAATATCAAGTCCCACCTCTATTTGCAGTACTTAAGAGCATCTGAAACCCTCAGCCAAAGTTAGAGAAGCAGGAGATCTTCAGTCTTCTGGTTCTCCCTGAGTTACCAATACCAACCCAAGGTCTCCTCAGCTCCTTTCACTGTTTTTTCCCCAAGAGAAAGAACACATACTCACAGATAAATGAGATAGTATTTAATGGTCACTTGCTGAAAAATAGCCTCTGTTTCAACTCCTGAAACTCTGCCAACTAAATATTCACGTGTTTTAAGCCAGGCGCAGCAGCACACAACTATAATCCCAGTGGCTCTGGAGGCTGAGGCAGGAGGAACATGAGTTCAAAGCCAGCCTCAGCAAAGGCGAAGTGCTACTTCGTGAGACCCTGTCTCACGAAGCAACTCAATGAGACCCTGTCTCTAAATTTAATAAAAAATAGAGCTGAGGATGTGGCTCAGTGGTCAAGTGCTCCTGAGTTCAATCCCCGGAACCCTAAAAGAACCACCACCACCAAAAAAAAATTCATATGTTTTAAAAAGTAAAAAAAAAAATAAGAGAACAACTCATTTTTAATTTAGTATGAAACAGAAAATAAGGATAAAAAATACTACCATTTGCTGAGTTCTTATTGGCAGATACCAGGTACTATGGTAGATGTTTTACATGTATTATCAAATTCATCCCTCCCAATTATGAAAAAAATAATATCATCATCATCAAAAGATGGGGAAACAGAATCAGATACCAGTAACTAGCAAATTCAAAATTCAAAGACTTTCTGATTCCAAAAATCATGGTCTTCACACTACATCATTTCCACAGAAGAGAAAAAACAACAAGTCATAGGCAGATATGGGATGTTTCCTAACATTGGGAACCTATGCAAAATCACTTTCAAACTTACAATCTTTCAAAACAAGTGAAAAAATGACAAGTAGTAAACCAACTATTTAAACAAAATGAATTTGATCCCATCTCCTGTTTCTTTAGCCCCTCCGAAGTACTCTCATTCAATTTTATACTCAAAGTCACTTTTGGATAGGGGTGTGTGTATATATATATATATCTTCCTTGAAAAGGCATTTATATGCATATTTCCTCAAAAACTAACATAGAATTCAGTGGTAGATATTCTATTATCAAATAAGCAATAACATCACTCCTTTCTAAGGACTCCTCAGCACTGCAAAGAAAAGCTGGGAACTCCATTTCCCAGAATCTCCTTCCCTGAATGTTTCCTAGTTAAATATCTGCCAGTGAGAAAAACATGCATGAAAGCTGAATGCAAAAAGAAGAAATCATTATTCTCTAGATGTGTTTGTATCAAATACACTGGCAGACATAAGATGCACAGTGGCTTACTGTTGAGCTTCTGATATTCATCACACTGTACAAACTAATTGCCAATTAGTGAAATTTCTGTCATTTCATAATTACTTATTTCTAATGTAATATACTATAATCAGAAAATATGACCTGGAAAAATACCTATATATAAAATTTGTCATTTTTTTTCAGTCTACAAACATACCCCAAAAAGGAAAAATGCAATGTGGAGACAGATAGATTCTCACATTAATTTACATATGTGTATATATACATATACACACATACAGACATATATATGCATATATACACACATATAAATGTAACATATATAATCCATATATAATCCATCTTACAGGCAATAACATTAAATATCACTGTATCTTCTTTTCCTATTATATCTGTCCAATTCAGGAAGAAATACACTGAAATATCCTATACAATTATAGTTTTATTAGATCCTCCTGATATTACTAATAGCTTTTCTATCATAAGTTTACCTGCTGTGTTATGTGACACAAAAGTTTTGTTATAAATTGTCCTTGATTTCATTACCTAATGTCCCTTTTTATTTAGCAGGAACCATTTAACTTTAAGTTATCTAATATAAATTTTGACACTCCTTCTTTGTTTTTTATTCATGCATACCTCTCTTAAGTGATTTTTACAGGAAATATCTTCTTATTTCCATTTTTTGTTTTACATGGAGCTCAGAACATAAAGCTAGCTAGGTTTTACATTTTTAATTTTCCAACAGTTTATCCTTTAGCAAACTGTTACAATGAGAATTAACATTCAGTGAAAATACACTAATTTTTTCCTTACATCTTATGTTTAGTTTATTATTTTATATTTTTCCTTTTATTTCATTTTCCTAGTTCTTGCTAATTTAAGCTGATATTCATACTGTTTTGTACCTTTTATTATTTTACAGGCTTTCTTACATTTTATCATTCCATTAAATACTACCCTCTTTTCTCTATGCTCAAAATGCAATATATTAGCTAGGCACAGTGGCACATGCCTGTAATCCCAGCTACTCAGGAGGCTGTGGCAGGAGGAACCCAAGCTCAAGGCCAGTCTCAGCAATTTAGGGAGGCTCTCAGCAACTTAGCAAGAGTCTGTCTCAAATATTTTTTTTTTTTAAATCTTAAAGGGTTGGGGATGTAGCTCAATGGTAATGTGCACCTAGGTTCAATCCCCAGTATAAAAAAAAAAATGCTGTATGTTTGTCTACTATTATTTTGAAATCATGCTAATTATTCCTCCGCATACACATACTGATTCTTCATCAAGACACTCAATTCATGGTCTGAGGTTGTGGCTCAGTGGTAGAGCACTTGCTTCGCATGTGTGAGGCACTGGGTTTGATCCTCACTACCACATAAAAATGAATAAATGAAATACAGGTATTGTGTACAACTACAATGGAAAACATTTTTTTAAAAAAGACACTCCATTCATATCTACTATTTACCTTTTCCCAAATAAATGGCCCTAACTGTGCCAAAGAGTTGGACCGATGTCACTTGCCTAACAAAGTCAAAATTGTTCAAGCATATTAATGAGCATGCCTATGAGATGAACTAATAAATATTTTTGGAAATCACTTAAAAGCACACTTCTAGCTTTTCTCACACACACACACACACACACATACTCACACACACGAACAGCTTCTCTGAAAGATACTATTACATAGTCTAACACAATCTGATCTTTAAAATTCCATATTAATTGCCAGATATACTTGTTATACACAGTCAATTCAAACAATATACTCTACTTGAAATATTAATATAGTTTTTATAACAGTTATATAATTATCTAAATATTACTTTCATATTTTTTATACTTACCCTTCTCCAAGCTTCTCTAATACATCAAAAACTTCTTCAGGCTGCTTAGTCAAACTGTCTTCACTTAGCTTTTTTAGCTTACTGAAAAGAAAAAAAAAAAAGAAATGTTTTCCTTAAGACCTCTTAAAATATTTTTTTGTTTTTAATAGGCAATATAATCAGATGGCTTAAAAATCAATAAATATAAAAAGGTATACAGTGAACATTCTCCTTCTACACTGTTTCTCGTGTACCTAGAAACATCCCAAAACATAATCTTTTTATTAGTTTTTATGAAATTTTCATATAAATATGAATATGTATGTTTAATTCTACTCCTTTTGAACATACATACTATTTTGTTCTATTATTTCCACTTAACAATATAGCGTCATGTGTCACTTAACAATGGAGATACATTCTGAGAAATGTATCACTAGGCAATTTCATCACAGTACGAAATTCATAGAGTGTCCTACACAAACAGATAGCAGAGACTATTAAACATAGAGATCATTTAGTCATACATATAAATGGTATGACTTATTACTACTTGAGCCATGATGAATAAAACAACATCGGAAAATGATATAATCAAGAGACATGGTCAACAGGAGACATGAGGTTGCTGTCAGTATAATATGGCATACAGTTTTACGCTAAACTTCTTTTTATAAGTAGAAGTATACTCTAAAATAATAGCCGGGCGCAGTGGTGCATGCCTATAATCCCAGGAGCTGTCTCTAAATAAAATACAAAACAGGGCTGGGGATGTGGCTCAGTGGTTGAGTGTCCCTGAGTTCAACCCCTGGTGCCAAAAAAATAAAAAGTAAAAAATAAATAAAGTAATAAAAGTATAGTATAGTAAATACATAAACTGGTAACATAATCGTTTATTATCATTAACAAGTATTGTATACTAAACATTTGTATGTTATTACATTTTTATACAGTTAGTGTACAACAAATTGTTTACTCAAGCATTGCCACAAACACGTGAATAATGTGTTGTACTATGAGGTCACAGTGTCTATAATGTCACTAAGAAATAGAAATTTTTCATCTCTGTTATACTCCTGTGGGACTGCCGTGACATATACAGTATGTCACTGACTGACACATCATCATGCAGCACATTGACCTTACTGACAAACAAGCATATAAGCATAATCATAATAATAATTTCAAAATCATTATTATAATCTTATAGTAATTATTAAAATTGCTGATTACATCATATATTTTAATTGTAAGTTTGTTGAGAGCCACAGCCGAAGGGGCCCCAGCAAACTTCCAGCTGCCGGCTGATGATTGGCTCACAGCGGCCCCAGCAACATCTAGCTGATTGGCTCCTCTGCGGTGATGCTCATTGGGCTGTTTCCCTGCCCTTTCAGACCACGGAGCTGCTCATTGGGGGACTTTTTTGGCTCCGCCCACGTGACCCAGCCAATCGGCCTCAAGAGCAGGAGGATTGTGAGAGAGAGGGGAGAAGCTTTTGTGGGAGAGAGAGGCTTGTGGAAAGCCGGTGGTGGCAGTTGAGGCTCTGAGGGTTTTTCCTGAGAGGCTGTTTTGTTTGGAGTGTGTGGTTCTAAAAATAAAGTTAGTTTCTTTTGACAAGTGGCTCCTGATTGTGCCCAGCCAGACTGCGGCATAAGTTATATAAATATGTATATGTATAGTAGTCCCTCTCCATATCATATTGCTTTCCACAGCTTCAGTTACCCAAGGTCAACAGGAATACAAACATGTTAAATGAAAAAGTCCAAAAATAATCAATTCATAAGTTTTGAATTACACACTACTCTCAGTAGCATGAAGAATTTCACCTCCAGACTGAAATGAAGAATTTTCACTTCCAGACTGCGAATCATCCCTTTATCCAATGTACATATGCTGTGTATGCTACCTGCCTATTAGTCACTGAGAGCCATCTTGGTGACAGAACAAAAAGTATATGTTTAAATAAAAATTTATTTCTCAGGCTGGGATTGTGGCTCAGTGGTAGAGCACTTGCCTAGCATGGGGGGCCCGGGTTCGATCCTCAGCACCACATAAAAATAAAGGCATTGTGTTGTGTCCATCTACACCTAAAAAATAAATGTTTTTTTAAAAAAGTATTTCTCATAGTTCTGAGGGCTGGAAGTCCCAAGATTAAAAGCCCAAAAGATTTGGTGTCTTGGGAGAGTGTACTTTCAGATTCACAGAATGGCATCTTCTTGCTTCTTCCCAGGGTAGATGGAGGAGGCAAGGGAGCTTGTTGGAACCTCTTTTATAAGAGCACTAATTCCATTATGGGGATGATCAGGATCTAATCACCTCCTAATATCATCACCTTGAGAGTTAGGATTTCAACATACAAATTTAAGGAAAGACACATCTAGACTAAGTATCTTGTGTCTTCCTTTTTCTAGGCAGCTAATTGAGTGACTTGTCTAAGATTACACAGTTAATTTTTGCAGAGCCAAAATTCCAGCAGCCGTAATGTCCTTTTCTTTTTTTTTTTTTTTTTGTTTTGTTTTTTGTGGTTTATTTATTTTTTTTTTATTTGTTTTTATTGGTTGTTCAAAACATTACAAAGCTCTTGACATATCATATTTCATACAGGTTAAACCAAAAAACAGTTTAAGATGACTCTAATTATGCAAAGTATCATCACCATGGAATGAAACCAGAAATCAATACCAGCAAGAAACAGAAAAATCCACAAATATCTAAAACTGATACAACTCAATCTTAATCTCTTAAACAACCAACAAGGAGAAAATCACTAAGATTTAAGAAAAATCTCAATACAAATAAAAATGAAAACACATCATACCTAAGCTTATGAGATGGAGCTAAAGCAATACAAAGAGGAAATGTTATAGCAGTAAACACATGAAAAACGAATAAACAAACTTACTTTAAAAATTAAACTTAATAAGAAAAAAAGGAAGGTAATAATGAAGATGAAAGAAGATATAAATGAAATAGAAAACAGAAAAAAATAAATTCAACCAAGATTTAGTTTTTGTTTAAAAAAAAAAAAATTAACCCACCCCTAGTGAGACTAAGAAAAAAAAAAAAAAACAGAAAACTCAAATAACTAAATTGGGAGCAATACAACTAATTGCACGCAGGAAAGGATAATATTAAGAACTATCCGAGCTGGGCACGGTGGGGCACACCTGTAATCCCAGCAGCTTGGGAGGCTGAGACAGGAGGATCACAGGTTCAAAGCCAGCCTCAGCAATGGCAAGATACTAAATAACTCTGTGAAACCCTGTCTCTAAATAAAATACAAAATAGGGCTGGGATGTGGCTCAATGGTTGAGTGCTCCCAAGTTCAATCCCCAGTACCAAAAAAAATTAAAAATTTTTAAAAAGAACTATCCATCAACAAATTAGATAACCTAGAAGAATTGGATAAATTCCTAGAAATATATAATCTACCAAGACTAAATCATGTAATCATGAAGAAAAAAAATTACATATGAAAAGTCCTGTAATTATTAAAGAGATTGAAACAGTAATCAAAAACTTTCAACAAAGCCCCAAGAGATTTATATTCACTGGAGAATTCTATTGAAAATTTGAAGGAAAATTAACATCAGTCCTCCTCAAATTTTTCCTAAGAATTCAAGAGAAGGAAAGAGTTCCATATTCAATTTGTGAAGACAGCATTATTCTGACACTAAGACTGGACAAGGACTCAAAATCACTGTTATACATACACTAACATGGCTAAAATTAAAGATCAATTCTCAGCAAGGATATGGAAGTAGAAGATCTCTTATATGTGGCTGTTGGAAATGCAAAAGTAAATAGCTACTCTAGAGAAGTGTTAGCATTTCTTCTAAAGTTATACAACCCAAGATTTCCACTCCTAGGTGTTTATCCAAGGAAAACAAAAATACATCTTAACCAAAGACACAAATCTTCACAGGACCTTATTCCTAACAACTAAAAACTGAAAAGAAAAAAAAATCCAAAGTCCACCAACTGGTAAATGAATAAACAAACTATGATAAAATCATTACTGCTCATCAGAAGGAGCATTTGTTTTATGTATATTGTACCTCAATAAAATTAACTCCGCAAAAAAGTATCTAGACTTAGTGGTAAGGAAATTACTGGTGATGACAGCAAGAACAATTTAGTGGAGCTGTGAAGGCGGAAACTAGACAGTAATTGTGGGAAGCAGTGATGTGGATCAAGGTGTCTGATAGCCTTATTGTTGTGGTGTACTTGCACTGGAATTCTCCCTGTGCAAAAGTACAGGGTTAACATTTGCCAGTTACTATGCCAAGGGCCCTGGGTCTCTCTGGGCAAACACCCAGGGATATCAGTTCTGACCTTGAAACTCAGATGCTGACTCCTTGGGATAGAAGATTCTGAGCATAGCATGATAACCCTAATGTCTCATCCATGCTGTGACCTACAAGCCTGCCTGCTTTGCAGAAACTTTCTCATAAATAAACTTTTGATGATAAAACTGATATAAATAACATGTGGAGCCAGGTCTGGGTCACTGTTCTCAATCAGAGTTCAGTATCCCACTTTCTCTCTAAATGTTTGTGGGTTTTTCTTAATCCTCCATTGCCCCTCGCTGGTAAAAGGGCACCCAAACAAGGACCAGACACAGGGGAACTTCTCTTTGATGATTAGATGAGGGGACAATTCTGAAGAACACAGTCATTTTGGGAAAGTAGCACAGTACAGTCAGGTGTAAAACATGGAACATATAGAATCCAAAGAAAGGGATCTCTGTGTTGCTTTGCTTAAATCAAGGAAGACACAGTTGTCACAGATTTTAAAATTTGTTACTAAAATTAAGCCCTGGTTTCCTAAAGAAATATAGAGACATAGAAGAGACTTAGTAAAAAGCCGCATGATAGGTATACAGCTGAAGACACAAACAAGGCACCTGTGGCTACTTTTACTTTATGGTCTTTTGTGTGAGACTCTCTCAACCCATCTCATGAAAGTGTGATACAGGAGATTGGGGTTGTGGTTCAGCGGTGGCCCGTTTGCCAGGCATGTGTGAGGCACTGGGTTTGATTCTCAGCACTGCATATAAAAAAATAAAGGTCTATCAACAACTAAAAAGAATATTAAAAAAA